ATAAATTGTAATAAAATTTTTCACTGAGTTGTATACAAACCGTTTCACCCGGGTTAAAAACCCAATTTGCTTTTCCTTTGTCAATATTGCCCTCCAGTTCTTATATGCTTGCTTTAATCTTACTGCTGAAGTGAAAAGCTGCAAAATTTGTCAAACTTGGTACGGTATGAATCTGAACTAGCGAGATCCTGTGTAGAGGGGTTCATGAATTAATCAGGAGCAGTCGAGGTGCTACACTAAGTTATGCCTTCAATTACAGTATGACTGCTAGACAAAGTAATTCTGTCACTTCCAATTCGACATCACTTGAACCAATTTCAAATAGATGTTTTGTAAGTAGTATACTGATGGCATTTCTCTGTAGAAACATGTGACAAGTTCCATTATAAATGATGTTGCATACTGTGGGATCAAATAAGTTCAGAAAATTTCTCAAGGTTATCACGTGCTGAGAACATAACAGTTTTTATTGAACGACAATACTGTACACTGAAAAAGACAGGTAAATTCTAGGCACAAAACACTGCAAAATGTGTGCATCCCCTAAAACTTACAAAGGGTCACCTTAAAATAAAATCACTGCTCACAGGGCCAACACCTCCCTCAAATTTCATTCTTAAATGTTGATTAATAATTTTCACAAATCTTTGGAAAAAAAATTCTGTTCTAGATGGGTATCAATTTAGCAAATACAAAGGATGAATCTCAGGAAAAACTTCAACAACATACCATCCAAAACTTTTGAAAAGGCTTGGCAAAATTCATTTTAACATAGTAAGAGCAAGAGCATTCTCAATATAGATATGGGGCTTTTCACAACTGGATTTAAGATAGATGAAGCAGAGAAGTTGCACTACAGCAACAAAGAAGCAGACAAGGTACTACTGCACAAGGAAATATCAAAATTTTGAGGAAAACTAGAGCTTTTATAAGCAAGAAACGCATGCCAAAGGAATTGCTTCTCAATCACAAATAGCAGAAATTTAAAACAAACTAGCTCTTGTAAACATTTGTTAAGCCGTGTTAAGCTTACACAAGCAACATACAATCTCTTGTGCAGAATGGCAGTTATTTGCAAAGCAATAAAAGACGTTTGTACTAAAACCAAAAAACTGCTAACTAAAACGAAGCAGTGAAAGAGGCAAAGAAGTGTAGGGCTTGAAAGCGAATAAAAATATACAAAAGCACAAAAGCAAAAGCATTACAGATCCAATCTAAGTTGACAATGTGCCATAAATAGAACAATTTATATTTTATCAGTTTCACAAATTTAAGAAAAAAATTCATAGTTTATCACAAAAGCATTTAACAATGAGTTTCACCATACACATTGAGCAAGGTGTTCTAGAATACACAGATACATGTCTGTTTGAAATGAGTCTGGTAGGAGTCACATGACATGATAATCAACTTTTTGAATAGACTCAAAACAAATAAGACTAGCAGGAGGCTTCGGATTGATGTTTACGGCTTAAGCCTAAAATAAAAGCAACTAAAAGAAAGCGAGAGTTGCATGGGCATAGGCAAAAAAGCAATCATTAGAAAACACATTCCACCAGGCAAGCGGCAAAGCTCTAAGGAAGTTCTTAAAACAATAACAAATATCTACAGGGAGGGGAGGCACGATAGAAAAGCGTACAGCATTGCAACATGAGAAGGGAGTGGTAAGAGTTAGGCACTATGGATACATTCAGGAATGTGGGACTAGAAAACGTTGACAGTAGAAACATTGCTGCACATTATCTATCACTTAAAAAAGTGAATGGGGGCAGGGGAGGGGAGAGGGGATTTACAACAGAGACAGATCTGCTTTGATAATAAATACATGTTACTGGATGCTAGGATAGAATAACAATAACTTCACCTGGAAAGAAAATTTCACAGGTATTAACATCAATAATGATGGTTGGATGCATTCAGAACAAAACACAATGGTGATATTAGCAAAGTCACTTAAATTCCTTCACAAGAGCAGACGAGCCAAATCACTACTTATAAATAGATGAAAAAAAAAAGAAGAAATGTTATGCTAAATGCATAGAAGCAGAAGCAACAAGTAGACATGAAAATCAAACACAGCTATCATGACAATGCTAAAAGGCTTTGAGCGAGGCCAAGCGAAAAGGCAGAAGCAGCAAAATAAGATGGATTTTAAACAACGAAGCTAATCGTGCAAGCAAAATAAAAGGCATTCAATATAAGCATGCAAAAAGCAGCACCAAAGCATTCTATACAAAAATTACAGCATAAACATACAAACATAGAAAAATAGCAGCATACATAGATCTCTACATACTATAGTTTGACAACATCAGAAAGCAGCAAACACTAAAGCTCATAATCAGTTGTGAAGGCATTAGAATATAATACATTTTGTAGAAGGCAAATTTAAATTCAACTGTATAATCCAAAAACATCAGTACATCAGTAGCCCCATACTGGAATACATCAATAGCAAATGCTGAACATACAGATCTGCATTGATAATAGAAACATCTCCGTGAATCCTAGCATAGAGTAACAAAAACATTGCCTACAAAGACATTTTTACGGTGTATTGAAATCAAAAGTGATGATTGGGTGACTCTGAACAAACAAGGGTAGAAGGTGGTAAGTAATTGTTAAATATTCCTTCACAACTAAAGTTGATGAGCCTACACATTCCAAATACCTACTTTCCAATCAAGATAAATCAACTAAGTAAAGAGCAATGCAACGCTACATTCATAGAAGCAAAAGAACACGTGCAAATCAAAGACAGTTGTCACAGAGTTGCTGGAAAGCTATTGCGCGCGTCGGCCAAGTGAAAAGGCACATGCAGCCAAATAACATAAGGCATTCAAGCGGCAGAGCATAAGGCAAAAGCACAACAAGCAGAATTAAAAATGATAATGCAAAGCCGAGCAAAAGCAACCAATACAAAAATGGCAGCCTACAGATCCATGCATACTGTAGTTTATCAACATCAGAAAGCAGCTATGATGAAGGAGTCAAGCTCATAAACCTAGTTGTGAAGGTTATTGAAGAAACCTTTTTTGTGGAAGGTGAATTGAAATAGAACTGTTTGACCCAACCATCATCACATAATTTAAACACTAAAACAGACTCAAAAAGGTAAGAGCTGCAGCTTGAATGCAGATGAAGATACAACAGATGCCGTGTGCAGGTTAAAATGGATCATATTTTCAAACCAGCCCAGTAACCTTAACAACGATCACTCTGTATGAACAAAAGAGAAGAAGTTACAAAGTTGACGAGTTACGTATAGTAATAATTTACAATTTAATTAAAAGAGGGCACTCACCTGCCATGGGTTACGAGGAATACTGGGTGGCCGAGGCAGTTCCATCATTAATCTGACTCAATCTCCACGGAACCTACAACAAACAATTAATGGGGGTGATTCTCAGAATACGGGCCATTTGGGAGTTCCTAAAATTTTTATTTTTTTTTAACGATTTTACTGGGTTTTTGGGTCGCAATGGTTTTATTTACCTTCGAATAAGATACGTGTAAAGTGGGGATAGTTCAAATCACGTACTTCTAGTACAACGTTAAAAGACCATTGTGGTCACGTTCAATCAATGATAAAACTCAAATATTGCCTCCCGCACCTTTTAATCAGTCTTTTGTTCGCTCCACTAGTGTGTCGTACTCATATTTTACATCCATTCATCCCCATTTTATGCGTTTTAGTATGACTAGAACATTGCAATAAATAACTTGTTTTTCGCCCCGAC